ATTTGTCCAGGTGGGAAACTTTATCGTACGTGTGATGGTACATGAAGTAAGGTCTACAAAGCCTATTTATATTTGGGCCAACTTAGGTCTAACCCTATTTGGGCTAAGTCTTGGACTCCTGAACCTCCCCAACCCAAAACTGGCAGGCCGTAACACACGCTACCCTACTATAGTGTCATATCCCTGTCATGCATGAGTTAGAATCGCTACTTTAAAGCATACGCAGGAACTGTAAAATCGTAATCGTAGGATCAATACATTTTTATATAGTTAGTTGTTCGTTGATGTTTGTCATTTACAGTTGTTTCAAGAAAAGTAAAAACAATTGAGTTTGTTAAAACGAATCTGGTGCTGGCTCATATCTAGCATAGGATTTTGAGGCTTTTACTCGCAATATTGAAGGATTTTTTGCATGGATTAAGGCGATGCTAAAATCATGTACCTGATCCAGTACTCAAGCCTACTTTTACATCGGATTTATCAGAGGCAGTAAGGAATTTCTTGTATTTTGCCACATCTTGCTTCTCCCCGGTAAATGATGCAACCTTAACAAATGTTTTTAAATCAGAATTGAGATCTGGTGTAATCGAGCTATGGATTCAACATGGGATAAGTAAACTCACAGTTCTGATGGATCCAATTGTTTGTTGGACGACATTTGCCGCATTAGAGTATGATTTTTTTGCTCGGGAAGCTATCTTGGAACCGAGGAAGTACATGACTCCACCTGATATAACAATCAACGGGATTGATGTCAACATGACTAATGTACGAAGCCACCCTTTCACAAAGACAATCACAAAACCTGCTAGAAATGATGAAACAACCTGGACAAAGTTTCCCACCTGCACCATCACACGTACGATAAGAAACACAATTCATTCTAAAATTAATATCAATAGACTAAAAAGGAACCACCTTCTGCTTTATTGCATCTTGAATGAGAATGGTATCAGCAGACATCCTTTCAATTACTTCTCCGGTACTCACTTCTTGGTCAAAATATGCAATCTCTTGCCGCAATATAGTTTGTCGATAAAGACTCCTAACTCTTGCAGACTGCCTCTTCCCAGTAGTTATCCAACAAGAAACATCTAAAACAAAACAGAAGTTTTATAAATTGAAGGGATGAAAAAAAAAAATAATAATAATTGAGAGAAAAAGATGATTGTTAATAGCACTTACGAAGAAATGCTGTTGCCCCGCACCCCAAAGCCAGGTAACTTAAGAGATACCTAAAGGTAATAATAAAGCTAAATAAGTAAAAGAGCATCTTTCAGTGCTTGGAAGTATTTCCTTTATATGTGAAATATGATGTGATGCAGAAATATTTCCTTTACATGTACCAACGATGTTTAATGGATAAAGAGAAGTTATAAATCTTCATTAGCTGAATTGTAGTTTCTTACATATTTACAATCCTATTCACTGTTCAACAATCAAGCACTATATCAGTTACACATATGTTCCGACAATGTACATCAATGTGCAGCGATAGCAAAAATATCTCCGATCTGATAAAAAATATTGAAGCAGTGGGAAGTCTCACTTAGGACCACTAAACTTGGTAAAACAATGAAATCTTTCAATAGTCTTAAAGATTAAATGAAATCTAAACTCTGTCGTTGGCAAAATATACTAAGATTCAGATTTTACCAGTTTCCTATTCCGAAGATCGATTGTTCAATGAAAACGAGAAAAGGCAAACAAAGAGAAGAAAGTCTATTTACAAGTTCTAACACCAAGTTGGATACAGAAAGCACTTTTCTTCAGGCAATTATATCAAAAACTGAAGTTTTCTAAACCCCCAACTTCCTTTGAAGTTTGTAACCGGAATCGAATATACACCACGACGAACATGCTAATCGGCGTTCTGATTCATGCACCCACCCTACACCTATTTTTCCCTTTTGCACCATTGAATTAACATGCTACTCATTTTCGGTAGAATTTTGCGCGGTCATCTATCATCCACGGTGAAATTGCCAAATTCACTCGATTCTTCAAAAAAATGACGGTTTCTCCTTCCATATCTCCGCCACATCCGCGCCTCTGGTAGTCCTCCACCCGTCGGCGTCGATGCCGCCACGGAATGCCTCGATCCTCTGTGACAAATTTTATCGAACACTTTGCATGCGCAAGTTAAACTGGTATATTTTTATGCGTTTTCCCATTTCAGCAAAGAAATTCCCAATGATCGGATGAAACAAATCAATTTCCGTTGGCGGCAATGGCGGTAAGTTGCGAGCTTCTTCTTCGCTAGCAAAAAATCTCCGAAAAAACCTTGTCATAATTCTTCAAAAGAACTGCGTCTGCGTGAATGAACGAATTTTACCGTTGGAACATTGTGAGGAGTGAGGACTTGCCTATTTTAATGGCACAAAATGCAAATATTTTTAAATTAAGGGTGCAAAGTGCAAAAGTGGTGTAGTATTTGGACCATGGAGATTGGAGGGTGAGGTGGACAATACCGTTGACTACCGATCAGTTCTCTAATTCTTCTTAAAATTATTGGTAGTCTTTTTTTTTTTTTTTTTTAATTACAACCAGCCCTGAGGTATGGTTAAATTACAAAAAAACCCTTCATGTTAGGATAACTACAACTATCCTTCAATTATGAATTTTCTTACACGTCCACCCTTATAGTGTCAAATTCAACATAATCTTCTAGATTCAGTGAAATATTCTCTACTTTGTATTCGTTTTGTGCAAAAATACAGTTTCCGATGCACCACAATCTGATATATATACAAGACAAAAAACACATCTTGCTTCAAAATGTAGAGTTCGAATGTGATAAAACATGTACAAAATTAAGAATATTCTATTTAATCTAGAAGATTCCACTAAATTTGACACCGCAAATGTGGACGTATAAGAGATTTATAGCTGAGGATGGTGATTGTAATTACCAAAGTATGAAGGATTTTTTCATATTTTGTACCATATCTCATAGGTCGTTGTAATTTACCTTTTTTTTTTAATAAGTAAATTGAAGTATAGCCTAATCTTTCAACCTATAATATTAACGGATTATTTGATCATCTTATCTATTATATTATGTATTTGTGACAGGTAGTCAAGTTATGCGAATCGAACTTTTGTAAACTCAAACTCAAATATAACCAACCGGGTTGCACGACCAAAATCTCAAATTTACATATCAGTGGACTTTTTAGGATCGGTTATGAGCTAAAATTGGTCTCATAACAATACTATATCTTAGGGAGAAATAGTTACAAATTACTTAAATACATCAACATATAAATTTCATGAATCTATTCCCTAGAATAAAATGTAATATAACATTTAATTTAAAAGGTGAAGTCGTAGAAATTATATCATAACTATCTAAACAGAGTAAATGTTATATGAATGGTCAAAGAAATTCTAATATTTTTACAAATCATAAACATTTGAAATGATTCATGTAATCTAGAAATATAAGTATTTTTATTAGACTTAATTCGAGTTGAGCCAAAATGACCTAACACTCGGACTTATAAAAACTTCTCGAACTTAATAGAATAACTCAAACTCGGTCAAACTTCTCGAACTTAATAGAATAACTCGGCTGTATTATGATATGTCCTAACATTAGAAATGACCTAAGTGGTTAGTTGGTTGAATAGTAGGCTATAAGTCAATATAGTTTGTTCATTAGTGATAATTGCCTGTTTACTTATTTATTCATTATCTTAGTGGGTTAAATTATTCATTACAAACATTAGAAAATAGAGTAATTAAGACCTAGTATGGGAGGGCAATGATATTTTTCTCACCGGTCAACATCCAAGGTCGAGAAGGAAGTTTTTTTCTCGGAGCGGTGCGGGACCTCGAGACAGGATTAGAACCATCGAAAGTACCACCCATCGGGACAGGAGGCGGAGTCGGAGTCCGAACATCCTCGTAATCGTCATCGGATGGAAAATCCGGCACCGGAAACTGATACTTCTGCTGAAAGCGTAGTTGTGGATCGTACTCGTACTCCTGCGGCTGCATATATGCATCCATGGGTGCATCCATCTCCTGATCGGCCTCTGTCTCTGTCTCCTCCTGAATCATCGTACGTGGGGGTACAAAAGCACCAGTGCGTTCCCCACGACGTTTAGAACCGGTAACATTTCTATTATGTGTCCTTCCCTCCCGTTCCGCAGTATTCTCCTCCACCGGATCTGCAGGAGGACGAATCAGGAGTCCTTTCCCTTTTCCCAGTCCGAATTTTTTCGCCCAATTAGACATCCTGTAAACATAAAATTATTATAATTTTCTAACTTATTTTAATTCACAAAAAAAATATTTCTTTTAAATCAGAAAAAAAAAAAAAAAAAAAAAAAAATTAAATCGAACGCCCGGTTTGGGCGTTTCC